TTACAGATGTGCACCACCACACCTGGCTCACATGGAGCTCTTACTCCATTTCTGTCATGGCCCAGGAGCCATGTCTGTCCTCTACCCGCGACTTGAGCCCAGTGCCTAGCACATGGCGACACTCATGAACACACAGTGAAATCGCGATCTGTGAATTGATCCAGCACAACTGCAGATCCTGGTATCTGAGGGCAGGGGAAGAGCAACATTGTAAGCTTTCAGAAAGAACAAAGAAAATGGCGAGAGAGTGTAGCTGTGTCTCTTGGTATCAAAGAAGAACTTCTTAAATAAAAGTTCAAACACTATAAAGCATGATGCAAAAATGGGTGAAGTTGATTTTCATTCAATGAAGGACATCTCAGCCATAGACAGTTAAATAGCAGGTGGCCGAGAGAGAAGGTATTTAAAATGTCTAAAGCCGCAAGAGGAGCCACTCTACCGCATACACCAACAAGCACAAACCAAAAAGAAAACAAGGCAAGTCTTCCTGTTGAGAAGTGGGCAGAGGGTCTGAGCAGGCCCTTGACAGAAAAGGGGACGCAAAGGTGAACCCATACATGAGGAACACTCTGGCTCGGCGCTGGAGAGACACAGATTAAAGTCACAAAATCGGACCTTATCTCTGTTCACTCTGCTCACTGTTCAGGGTGCTGGGCAGAGCCCTAAGTGACTGAACACTCAGTTCTGTCTGATTTTTTTTTTTTTTTTGGCTGTACTGGGGTTTGAACTCGGGGCCTCACGCTTGGTAGCCCTCAGGTCTGTGTCTGAGTGGGCTGGCCTCACTTGTCCTGCAGTGTTACTCAAATCCTCTGATTGGGCCTTGGTTTCCTGAATTGTGTGCCAGTGGGAAGCCCCTGTTTAGTCCCCAGAGTTCTCATACAGCTCAAATTATTTCAATGAGACTCTGAAAAGACCTTTCCATAATTAGAGGGCAATGTGGGGCAAACACAGGAAGAGAAGGTTCCAGGGGAACCTGGTTCTTCTACTTCTCAGCTCTCTGATGGGGCAGGCAGGGGACTCGTTAACCAATGGAGGTGGAGATTTCAACCATTTCTTCATCTTCCAGGAAGGTTTTTGCTGTAGTACAGTGTGACTGCTTTTAGCAAATGAACTGTTTCAGACAGGCAGGGTGGTTTTTTTTTTTTTTTTTTTTTTTTTTTTTGTCTTCTAGTTATAAATGTTATGGACCTAAAGAAAGAAGTACTTCCAGAATGTTTTCTAGCCAGTTTTTATAATTCTCTGCCTCTTGAGGTGGGTCCAGGCTGCCTCTGCTGCTGATATAAGGCTGGACAGGATGGAGGCCATCTAGACTTAGGGCAGACTAAAGCAGTGCCTGACGTTGCTCAAGTCCTTGAGGACCTTATCTGGCAGCAACTGGTGCTTCCTGATCTTCTGTGTGTGTGTGGGGATCACACACACAGGTTGGAGGATTGGGCGGGCATTTGGAGAAGCTAGCCAAAGCCTGATGGTGGCAGGAACAGGCTTTGGCTATTGTAGGAAGAGCTCCCTGCCTCCCTATACTTCTCCCGAAGGCCTGGACTGCACTGTGCTCCTGGCCACTGTGTCAGATGCAGGCCAGGGGGCCAGCACTGAGAATGTGCATGACCTGTGCAAGCAGAGGGTTACCTAAGTCTCCCTCTCCTGGGAAGCTTTCCTTCTGCTCTCAGTTGCTCACTCTTCCCTATGTCCTCCTCTGCATACACTCAGCAGAGGGCATCATGGCTTAGTGCCAGGCAGGCTGTGCTTTGGCTCCTGGCACCAGAGCTGTATTCTTGGCAAACAATTTAGCCAACTTTTGCCTCTATTTCTTAATCTCTGAAATGGGGGCAGTAACAGTACCTCTCTCATAGGTTGCCAAAGGATTAAAGGACGTAAATCTTGGGTAGCATTTGGCCAGCAAGTGCTGATAGAGTGAGCCTGGGATAAGTGTTGTTGTTAGAGTCCCACAGGTCATGAACACGATGAGGACAAGAGCTGTACCCTGTCCAGTTTTGTGTGGCCAGCCCAGGGCTGTGTGTAAAAGATGTTTCCTGAATGTTGTCAAGTGAGTAACAGAGACTGGGCATGGGATGCTGAAAACATCTGTCTGCCCTGCAGCTTGGCATCACTGTCACCAGAAAGCTCCCAGGAAGCTCCTTTATTAATGGACCCCAAATTTGCAAACTGCAGTTCTGGGCCTTCCTCTCTCCACCCAGGTCTTCTTGTCTCCTCCAGGCTGCTGGCTCCTGGCCTGGCAGAGCATCTCAGACACACAGGGACTGGGGGTGACATGTTTTGGGCTCTGTTCTTAGTCCCACTTGGTGTACATTGTCATCAGGGGATGTGGATGTGGATGTTGAGGACATTGTGTTTATTAGGATTCCTAGTTGGGAGACAGGTCATGTCTCAAAACACAGGACCGATGGACTAGCCTGCTGTCCATCAACACTTGTGCAGCCACTCATGTAGAATGAGGTGGACACATGTAAAAAAGACACAGGGCTTTTGGGTCATGCAAGTTCATTGTAAAGCCAGGGAATATGCAGTGGTCAGGCATAGGTTGCAAAGCAGGGGAGCTGAGTGGTCACCTGCTTTGTGCCAGCTGGCCTCACTTTGGGCATGGTCACATTTTAGGGTGAATGTTCACAACCTGTGGTATCAGTGGAGGGCAATTAGGATGACAAGGAAACTTAGCGCTTGCTTGTGTAAGTAACAGGTGGAAAGACTTAGATTGGGGAAGAAGCGTGCAGGGGTCATAATAACTGACAGTACTTTGTGACTCATTGTGGAAGTGTGACTGGACCCATTCTGTGGGCCTCTGACTAGTGGTTGGATAGAATTTTCTGTGCTGTCCAATAGAATTTTCTAGTGCTATTTAACAGCACTAGACAGATGTGTTTTTGACAATTAAAATGTGACTACAAACTGAGTTTTTAAAAAAGAGATTAGTGACTTATTAGCAAAGCAAAAATGAGGTGGGCAGTTCAGGTAAGGGCCAGCTATGTCAAAGTCATCTGGGCCTGAGGTTTTACTACCCAGTGGGATGGAATGTCTAGGAGGTGTAACACTGAGGCCCTTCCCATGGGGCCCCTACCAAAGATTTGAGGACTGCATAGTGGCTGCCTAGGTATGGGAAGTCGTACACCTGCACCTTTGAGAAGGTGAGGGCAGGCACCTCTGCATTTGACTTTTTTCCCTTCCCTATTTAGTGCTGCCAGCAGAAGGTCATAAGGTGGTTATTACACCCTCAAGGCACATGCATGACCTCAGTATAGGAGTGGGTTCCACAAGGACACAGGGCCAGTACCTTAATCATGGGTCCAGGGTGTGGGCCTTCTGGGGTTTTAGGTTCAAGTCTTGTGCCTGGGGGCATTTCCTCATTCCTGCTGTGTCCAACACTCCCCCATGAGATTCAAGATCCTGAATTCTTTCAGGATATGGACAGCAAGATCCATGTGGCTGCATCCCGCTGATGAGGTGACGGGGGTACTCAGGGCCCAGAGTCTTGTTCCCTGTCAAGACTCAGGGAAGGGGGTTGAGCCCAGGCAGAGAAGGCTGCTGAAAATGTGGCCTTTCCATAGGTGGACCAGTCACAAAATGAGGTGGCCATTGTGTCCACAGGTGTAAAGGTGTTCTGTAGCCAGAGGTGTTAAAAATTAAAGGCTTGAATGAGACAGGAGTGGGATTAGGAGCAGGGCAGGACGAGTGTGTAACGGAGCAGTCTTGGTCAAAGATGTGGTCCCATTGACTGTTCTCTCGAGACTGGTCGTGTGGGGCCTTGTCAGGATGAGAAAGTTGAGGGTGCTGCCTCCCTCAGTGGATCACTCAGCCTGTGCTGCTGGGTGGGGCCCCTGCCAAGTACTCACGGGCTCTCTGGGATGTGCTGTTGTGGGAGGTGGGGTATGTCCACTTAACTTCAATAGGCATGGTAGTCCGTTTTCCACACAGACAGAATATCCAAGATAGGAGGCAAGGTTTATTTTGGCTCATGTTGTCAGTCCACAGTTGCTTGGTTTTTGCTTTTGGGCCTGTGGTAAGGCAGAGAATCATATGGGAGTGCATAGTAGAGGAGGTGTGTTCACTCCATGGGGGCCAGAAAGCCAGCCAGAGACAGTGACACAGAGGAGACAGAGACAGGAAGGAGCCACACCCCCAATGATCTCACTTCCTCCCATGAGGCCCAACCTCCTAAAGGCTCCACCACCTCCCAATAGCACCACCCTGGGGACCATGCCTTCAACATGGCTTTTGGGGGACATTCCAGATCCAAACTGTACAAGTGTGCAGACTTTGCTGAGCGTATGTAAGAGAGACAGTTTCCTGGCCAAATGCCACTTTGTCACCTGATCCTCTAAGGGTGTAGGGGTTAGGATGTCGACTTGAGAGCTTTTGCCCTCAAAGTTCCTTCTGTGGATGGACCATGCCTCATCTTGTGACTGGTGGTCACCTCCTCCATTGTCTCCTTCAGACAAATGGGGAAACCATTGCTGTCTGGGGCACCTGGAGGTTATGTCCACAATGAGCTTCAGGACTGAGAGGTGTGGAATGCCCAGGAGTTGCCTGTGCAGCTGTGGATGTCTAGAGATTTGGTTATTTCTGTTCTACTTCCTTGTTTTTCTTATCTTTTTTTTTTCCCCAGCTTCCATCCACTTTACTTCTAATTGGTATTTCTACTGAAAGTCACAAAATAAATAGCCCATCCTATGGTGGGGGAGAAGACAAAAGTTGTGACTTGAAGTTTTAAATTTTTGTGCTTTATCTAAGTTCAAACCTGCCTCTACCATGGTAGTTTTTCTACATCTTTGTAAAGAACAGGAGATTTAAAAAAAAAAAGCCATTTGGGAAGTGTTTGAGCATACACAGTCAAGAAGACCGTCAACCCCATGTGTCATGGTGTTGACAGTGATAGCTCCTGGCCAGCTCGTCCTCCTCCTGGATTTGGAAGCAGATCTGTAGGAAGCTTTTGTGAAGTGTGTGATTCACCTGTGCATAACATCCTGATTCTTCCTGTTCTGTTTCAGATCATCGCCTTTGATGAGTTAAGGACGGATTTTAAGAGCCCCATAGACCAGTGCAACCCTGTACATGCGGTAAGTAGTAGGTGCAGGCGAGAGGAAGGTGGTGTCCCCACAAGCCACCCACAACCATGAAATGGGACTAGGGTTTTGTGAGTAGGATGAGGAAAGAACACAGAACCCCAACTCTGCCTCCAGACCTGGCTCAAGGTTGTTGAGGAGCCATCTTGCTCTTGAGGCCTATAGGGGTCTTGCGATATCTTGCACATCAAGTGTGGCAGTCCCTATAATCCAGGGGAGGGTCTGCTGCTCCATGGAGCAGGGTCCTCCATGCCTGGAGTCAGTGCTTGTTCCCTTCTCATCTCCAACTTAAGTGAGAGGCTCCATGTCTGCCAGTGCCATTGCAGGGCATATGAGCGCCACGCATGGGCATCCCACTCTGCTTGTGGGCACCAGGTTCTCACGTATGGTAGATGTGTGAACCCAGATGTGCACCCAGGGTACATTCATCTCAGGTGGTTGGTTGGTAGCCTGGAGTCCACTCGCCTCCCACCTGCCCATGCCTCCAGTTTTGTTGGGTGGCTCTGGGAGCTGGCCATTGGCTTCTCTGGTCAGTGCAGCCCATGTCCCAGAGCACAGACTACTGAACACGTGGACAGAGCCCTCTCCAAATTTACACAGATCAGTGCTGCTGGCCTTGAAGGATGGAGTGCACACGGTCCACTCAAGTGTGTCTCCTTCCAAGTCCACGAGACTGTGCTGAGAGAAGGTTCCTTCTGGCTGTAGATTCTAGTGTGAAGGCAAGTTTTTGTCTGTTTGAGAATCTATAGAGAGAACATGGGGCTGTACTAAGATGATAGCATCTTAACCCTGGAGGCTGACAGTATCATTCCTTAATAACAGGGGACAAAGAGGTCTTCCCCTCAGCTGCAGGCCCCTGAAGGAGGAGTTGCTGTTAAGGAGTTACCAAGTGGCTATGAGGTGGGCAGACTTCAGTGTTCCACTCTACAAGGTGGAGCTGCAGTTTTGCTTTGAGTTTTTACTATGTGCTGGGAACCTCTATACGTAATCTGCAGTCCTCATGACTCTTCTGGACAGGCCCCATTATCCCAATCTGTAGTCCACAAAATGGAGTCTCTGTCTAGGTCTCATAGTTCATTAGTGGGGGGTGTTAGGTCTTGAACCCAGGTCTGCCTGTAAAAGATTTGATGGTATATCTGTGAAGGTATTTCTTACACCCTTGAAAACTTAGGGTATTTTGTAAAAGTTACGATTTTTAAAGTCCATTGTTTTAGTGGTACTGGGTTTGAACTCAGGACCTTGGGCTTACTAGGCAGACACTCTACCACTCAGCCAAGCTCCTAGCCCTTCAAGTTCATTTTATTCTTATCTACCAGCCTTGCCATCCACCTATGATAATGGGGCTCCGTCAGGCCTGGAAGGGTTTCAGCCAGGGTCTCTGTCTTTCTGGACATTCTGGGTTTGGCACCAGTAGCATACACCTGGCTTGTCAGCAGCTAGCAGGTGTCTGAAAGACAGCCCATTTCAGAACACCAGGGAAGGCAGAGCCTGCATTCCTGCCTCCTGATTGTTTGGGCTCAAATTAAAAAGCAGCTTACTTACAGATTTCTCGTGTGATCCCAGCATCAATGCTGGGAGAGATTTCAGTCCCGTAGTGCAAATCCCATGCTGGGCTGCAAACAGCTGGGGAGATCTTGAGATGCTTTGTGGAGCAATTCCTTCTCACCAGGACCAGTCCCTTGTTCTAGAAAGAAGAAGAAAATTAGGACTGGTATAGCCCCTGGAACTTCTGGGAAAGGACAGCAGGAGCACAGCTTGTACACAGCAGATGGTCACTAACTATACCTTGATGAAAACAGGAATGAATATGGAAGAATTCTCCAGTGCTGGGGATGGAACCCAGGGCCTTGTGCATGCTAGATCAGCATTCTTTCACTGAGCTACACCCCAGCCCTATTAAAAAAAAACCAAAAAAACCCTTATTAACTTAGTTAACAAATTAACTAAGGAATCTGGGCCCTGTGAAGCCCAGACCTCTCACAAGCAGACTAAAGCCCAAAGACTCTTGTCTTGGATTAAAATCAAAAGCAGACAAAATCATAAAGCCTCCAAACAGAAAAGCAGTTAGACATTTATGACTTCCACATTTTCCTGGTTCTTTGATGCTACTCCATGGCAGGACGTGAAACACTTGGATGCTTCATCTGACTCATCTCGAGCCCTTCGGGCCTCTGTGCTCCATATCCAGCTCTGGGTTTTAGTTGGTGACCCAGCCCTAAAGGAACTTGGTCACAAGAACTTGCTGATCTGTGTGAACATTTCTCAGTGAGGGCACCAGGCCCACTGGATTTTTTTTCTTTTCTTTTCTTCTTCTTCTTTTTTTTTTTTTTTTTTTTGTGGAGCTGGAGATGGAACACAGAGGCTCACACATTTTAGGCAAAGTGGTCTACCACTGAGACACACCCCAGCTCCCATTTGGATTTGGGGTGCCCTAAAGCTCCAAATGTTGCTGACTCTTCTCTTCTGGTGGACCCTCCAGGGGGTGGGATGGTTTCCCTCCCTTTCCCAAGCACACAGTGACGGGGAGGATGCATTGTAGCACCCTATTTCATGTGTGTGTGTGCTCACCCACATCTGTGTGACCTGTCTTCCGTGTGACTCCTCCTGCTATGGCTCCTTCCTCTGGGCTTACAGGCTGCACAGGAGTCACTGTTTATGATTTGATTAGGGGACTGAGGTATCTGGCCATCTGTCCTGTCTGGGTCCACGAGGACTGTCATGACCATCACATCTATGGCAACCACATTGCCTCAGCCATGAAGCACTGGGGATGGCTCGGCTGTGTTCAGATACTGCAAAAGTCACTGCGGGGAAAGGAGGCAGCCACATGGAGCGTGGTATGGGCGGTGTCACCTGCCCAGCCTCAGGACAGCTTCCCTCGGCAGTGAGCCAGCCCTCAAAGGTGGACTTGACTTATAGAAAAGTCCTGGCCAGGGGCGCGTTGGTGTTTGACTCCATGGGGAGCTCCCCCTCAACCCCCCAAGGGCACTCACACAGAGAAGGAAAACAATGTAGAGAACTTATCTGACTCAGACTCTGATGAGGCTACTGCCTGGACCCTGGACGCCCAGTGGGCATATGGGGCCTGCCGTGCAGATGGAGGCCCTGATAGGTTCGTGGAGGCTGAGAAGGGCTTGACCGCAGGAAAAGCATGTGGGCCTGAAGGGATACCTAGTGCAGGCCAGGGCTGTTCTGTTAAGCGCGAATGCTCTGATGAGGAGGAAGGAAGAAGACCAGAAGCAGAAAAGGCCATGGTGGGAGCACACTGCATGGGTCCAGGAGGGTCTCTGGTGGGTTCTGCCTCCTTTACTGGGGCTCACTGGGGCAGGGGCTTCTCACAGGCTTCCAGGAGACCCTGACCGCCTGTCTTCTTTCTCTCTTGTGCACCCTGACAGAGGGAACGGCTGCGGAACATTGAACGCATCTGCTTCCTGCTGAGAAAGGTCAGAGTGGTGCTCCATGCAGGAGGGTGGAGGACCACAGTGGGGGCTCCCAGGGAAATGACTGGCAAGGCTCATGTCTACCCAGGGAGGAGGGAGCAGTCACCAGTCCTTCAGAAACCTCCAGAGGCAAGAGGAGCTCATTAAAAGCAGTGGCCATCAATCAAAGTGTCAGGAAGACACTGGCTATTTCCAGTGCCCTCTGATTGGACTCAGAGGCTCTTTACTTTTGCATGATGATGGGTGGCAGTTACAGCTGCTCCTTCTTCCTTGTCTCTGTTCCCATCTGGTGCTGGACTCAGGCATGCTCCCTCTTGACTTTGGAAGTTTTTTACCTGGATGCTGGGTTTCTTTTGAAATTTCAGTCTGTCACTCAATTTGTGATTATTGGCAGGATGGGGAGGTGTTAAAGGAGGAGCCATGCTGTCCAGAGTTGCTCTGAATTATCAGGCAGTAGACCACAGCTGCCCTAGACTCATTCTGAAATACCTGTGTGCACATGTGGCCCAGGCTGGGGGGGTCCACACTCTGTACTCTGTCATTATCCGGTCAGAACAGGAACTCACAGGTAAAATACGAGTGTCTGTGCCTTGAGCCAAAGGACACCCTGACCTTGGTACATAGGACTTCTTACAGCTTCAGGTCATAAGAAGCCATCTGTGTGAGGTGAGTAGAAGAGAACCAAGTGCTGGACCAGCACTGGGCAGAGAAGACTTTTAGAAGTCTTGAGGTTTCTTTGTATTTCAGTAAGGATGCCTGGCCTTGGACGAGCATAGCCAAAGTGCCAGTTATTTCTTCAGTTAATTACTTGTCATTTAATGTTTTCTAAGAAATTCAGCCCGTTAGAATTTCATACCTTGGCTATCACAGCCAGAAAGTGTAAGGATGAGACACACATTTGAAAATACTAGTGATGCAAGGAACAAAGACTGATTAAGAAAGCAGCATAATTTAAATCATGAATATGTAAATGTTTTCTTGGATAATGTCGTAAATACCATGCCCTGCTCCAGGTATCACCTTCACAGTCTCTGGTTTGTCCTTTAAGACAACGTGTAAGTGTTGTAGACACTTTGACAAGAACAAGTTGCCCTTTCCCCCATCCTGGATGTACCATCCTGTATTCTCTGGCAGTGAAGTAATCCCTGCCCATGACATTTAGCCTTGCTGAGCCTTATATTGCGGATCATGGACTCTGGCTAGAGAGCTTGCAGTGGTCTGAGGCCTCTGCCGAAGTCCTACTGCCCACAGCCTTATGCTCTGGGCCTTTCCAAGGTCAGAACCAAAGATCTGAAAGTAAGCAATCTATGCCATTTGAAAATTTGGATATGGGTTACATACATCTCTAGAAACAGTAGAACAGGCATTTTACTCCAGGAAACTACTCCAAGTACCTTTTCCTGGATTTTGCCCTTTTCCTTTACTCATTCCTCACCTGCTCCTGTCTCTGCTGCTTCTGTGAAGTACAACACCATTGCTGCTTATTGCAGTGGAAAACACTGGGGAAGAGTCCAAGACAGACGTCAGAGAGTGGGAACACCTGCTCGGGGATGTTAGGCATTACAGCTGTGTGAGCTCATTCCTTCTGCATCCTTGGGGTCTCTACTCCCGGGTGGGGTGGCCAGTACCCTGGGCTAATGAGGCAGAAACAAGCCATTTGCCTGCAGCTTTATGCTCTTGAAGGAGTCTCCCTCCTAACCACTCTCCTTAACACGCACCTGTCTGTTCCTCACCTCTGTCTGTGCCTGGATACTTGAGATCGTTTGCATTGAAGTTGTGTAATTTCAGGTTGTTGACTCTGTGGGTGTCTGACCATGGGGAGTGTACTGTAACTCATGTGCTCTTTGGCTTCATTTGATAACTCTGTGAACTGTATTTGCACAGATGCATTAAGTGCTGGGCCTGTGCTTGGTCTCTTCCACTGGAATGCCAGCTCTGGAAGAAGGTCACTGACCATTCACCATCCTTTCTGGCGTCCACCTGTTGTGTACCACCTGTTGAAGGCACTCACTGAGCACTCATTGAGTAAGAGCTGATTCTGGCTGTTCTCGTTGGGAACACTGGACAGTCAGTGACCTGTTGATCACCTCATTTTGGTGGTGCCTAAGACAGCCTGTGTGGATGGGGTTTGTATTTTTAAATCTGATTTATTGTGACGCTGTATTCACTTTCGACCCAGGAGATCTCTAACCTGCAGTTCCCTCTACTGTGCCCTCCCTTTCTGTAGTCTGCATTTAATTCCCCAAATGCCCTCTCTCAGCTTGTTCTGGGTCCTTCAGAGTGGAACTGTGATGAACTGTGCAAGCTTCTGCTGCTTCCAAACCCTGCTGCACCTGTACCATCCGTGCAACACACGGTGGAGCCTCAAATGATGCAAAGTAGGGGTGACCAGAGTAGAAACCATTTGTGGAGTTTTGGGAAGTATGTGAGATAATAAATACATGAAGCTTGTGCCTCCTACCAGCCTGACCCCTTGCTCTGGCCTAAAACCCTTTGAGACATCCCTATGTGTGCATCTGGTGCTGAGGCAGAGGTGACCTTGGCTGGTGACATCCTCCTGTCTTCTTAGGAAAGTGTCCCATCTCACAAAGGTGGGAAAACTGGGGCCCCTCCCTCCTGTCACTCTTATCTTCAGTGGGTTCTGATTCAGATTCTCCAGTGGGAAGGTGCATTGGGTTCTGTGGGAAGGGCCCTAGATGTCATCACCACCTTCTGGGAACTGTATCTTCCGAGAAACTTCTTAGAACAGTCCCTCAGATAGTCCAGAACGTGCTGCCTCTCTGCTACGGGTTGTTGTTACACCACCTCCGCCTTTTGGAGGGAAGGAAGGGATTCTCAGAGTGGGTCCATTTTTAGCTCCACAATTATCAGAAAATGTGCTCCCTGGGTAATTGTCTGAACTGCAGGGTGCGGGTGTCAGCTCCTGCTTGTTATTCATTTTCATGGCAAGAGCCTTTCGCTGCTTGTGTGGTTCTCCCCACCAGACGATCTGTGGGCTCTGTGGACCACTGTAAGTAAGGCTTGGAGTGAGCCACGCGGGAGGGTGGCACACTCAGGGTTTCTGTGGGGAGCCTGGCGAGGGGCATCTGGTCACACCAGAAGCTGAGTGGCAGCTCTCTTCAGTGCAAGCCAAAGGACAGGAATGAGAATAAAGAGGAACTTGCTTCGTGAGCAGTGGTCGTCAAGCCTCGGGGTTGGTGGTCCAGGGGTGCTTCTTAGACTGAGGGATTTTGAGTTAGACTGAGCCTGTCCAAGGGAGGGGCTTAGCTGCCTGGTTAGGGATGTCCCTCTGGATCAACAATTCTGGGATTCTCCAGTTCATGTCTCAGTTTCCCCGAGACTGTCCCATCCCACTTCAGGTTTCTTGGCACTTGCAGATGGATATTTTCCATTCTGTTGAGTGTTCTCACTGTGACTGGGGGGTGGACTTAGCATGGGGGGTGTTGAACTCATTGGAGAGTTTTGGGGAGTCAGCATGATCCAGGTTTAATACTGGAAAACCACAGGTGCTCCCACAAATGGCTCCTTATGCCCTGTCCCCTCAGGCTCCTCCAAGCCATGCCTCTGTCATGGGGAGGAGTCAGGTGGAAAGTGGAGCAGTCTGGGTCCACTGCCGAGTCTACCCTGTAGTTCTGAAGCAGGGGTGTGGAGAGGAGGTGGATGTTACTCTTGGCGCAGTGAAAACAGTTTTGTTGAATGAGAAGACCCCATTGTTGTTCCCAGTTCATCACACAGACCCACACTCTGTCCATGACTGGCCTGTGATTTGCAGGGCCCAGTGAACAGTGACAATGTGGGGCTCCATACCAAACAATTGCTAAGAGTTTTAAGATGCTGACAGCATAGCATTCAGTGGAAGTGGGTCTCTTCCAAGCCCAGAGCCCTGTGTCCCAGGCCACGTCTCTGGAGCTGGCTGTGCCGGACAGGTAACTTTTACCATACAGTCTTGAGGTTCTTCCTGCTAAAGCAGAGTATTTTTCCTCTCCCTGTGGTGTTGGGCTTTGCCACACTATGGGATTTTTCCACAGGAATGTGGGCAGGCATACGAGTGTGTTTTGAGGCCTTGAGAACTGCTGGTTGTTTCTGTTCTTCCTCTGAAAATTCTGACTCCCCCCCACCCCCCGGGCCAACCCACTAGTGTGACAAGAGACAGAGGCCAGGGGACCCATGGAGACTACCTACAGCTCAGAGCCAAGCCCTCTAAATCCAGTGATCCTAGCCATCCTTTAGATGTATGAGCAAGTACAGATGGCTGGTTTTAAAGCACTGAATTTTGGAGTGCTTTATATAATATTGTTATATATTATATAATAACAATATTATAGTAGTAGCTGTATGTCAGCTTTATGTCACTATAACCAAACATCTGAAGCAATTAATCTACAAAGATAAAAGGGTTATTTTGACTCACAGCTCTAGAGGTTCCGGTCTAAAATCAAGTGGTCCCATATTTTTGGACCTCTGGCAAGGGTAGCATGTCATGACAGCCAACTGTGTACTTCACCAGCCAAAACACAGAGGAAGAGACTGTCCCCATGAGGGCACACCCAGTGACCTAAGGACCTCCCACTAGTCCTCACCTTCTGAAGGTCTTACCATCTCCCAATTGCACTGCCCTGGGGACCAAGCTTCTAACATATGGGCCTTTGGGGAACACTCAACAGCCAAGCTGTAGCAATAGCTAGCTGATACCGTATTCATACTCCATTTTAATAAGGAGGAATCTTTCTTTTTAAAGTAATGTTATTCTGTATCAGAGTTCAACCCAATTGCTGAGTCTACAAATTTACAAAGAAATGGTTTCAAGGGTTGCCCCAATTTCTTTGGCCAAAGAGGAAGCTGTAAGTGCAGTTACAGACCAGAACTTTGAGAAAGATCCATGTGATCTTGGTGCACAGTATGTGTCATGCGTGAATGGGTTGGAAGACTGTGAGGATGACACCTTCTCTCTGACTACAGCCAGTTCCGGCCACCAGGGGCCGACTTGACTTCAGGTCTTTCTAGTTGTTGATCA